AACCAGCAGCTAGAAGCATAGTCAAAATGACATTGGATCAGTGCCGACACCAGGGTTTTTCTAGATCTAAAATTGAGACAGTCACGGTGTCTATATAGAAACCACAATTTCTGGTTCACTTTTTTTATAATATTTTGGACAATTTGTTCTCCAGATAGAAAGTTGTCCAATATAATACCAAGATATTTGACACACACCTGAGGCATAATTATATTACCGTAACACGAAACAGAAAATGAGCCTTCAGGTAATTTGGAAAGTTTCCTTTTGGGGCCAAACAAAATACTCTCTGTTTTTCCAAGATGTAAGGATAATTTGTTATCTGTTAGCCAATCGTGACATGACTCTAAGTTTTTCGATAGAAATTTTGAAATAATTTTTGGGTTTTTGTGCGAAAAGATAATTGCACTGTCATCTGCGTACAGAAATAATTTGCATCCTGGGTCAATACTGATCCGCATGTCATTTACATAGATGAGAAAAAGAAGCGGTCCCAATAAACTCCCTTGCGGTACCCCGCATGTTATATTACAAATATCCGAGTTCACATTATTTATATTGACTAATTGTTTTCTGTTGGTAAGGTATGATGTGAACCACTCCACCGACTCAATGCCAATTACACCAAGTTTATCACACAAAATCCCATGGTCAACTGTATCAAAGGCCTTCTGTAGGTCTAGTAAAACCATTCCAGTTAAGAGACCTTTAGACGTCTAGGACTTTATGTGATCAACCAGGTGAATTAAACAGGAGTCAGTGGAATAGGATTTTCTAAAACCAGATTGGAACTCATACAAAATGTTGTTATCAATCAAAAATTGTTCCAGTTGTTTATAAATTGCTTTTTCTAGGATTTTTGAAACAATACTCAAAATACTAACAGGTCTGTAATTTTCAGCCTTCAATTTATCTTTTTTCTTGAATAGTGGTTTTACCTTTGCAATCTTGAGATCATCTGGTACAACATTTTCAGATATGGACTTATTTATTAAAAATCTTACAGGCACCTTGATTACTGATGCAGCATCTTTCAGAAAACGAGCTGGAATACAATCTAGACCAGTACTTTTAGTGATATTGAGATTACAAAGTTCCTTATATACAAAATTTTCAGAAACATGTTTGAGGTGAAATTTGTTTTGTTTTGGATTTCTCCTAATGTAGAAAGATTTTATTAAAGTTTGTGAGGTTTTGAATAAGCCTTTACATGGAGGAAGGCCTTCAACAAGTTTGGAAGCAATGGTTGTAAAAAAATTGTTAAAATGATTGGCAATGGTTAAGTTTTCATGACAATTTTCACCTTCAATGTTCAAAACTACATTCATATTCGTTTTTCTTTTAGTTTCATATCCCAAATTTTTGAAATGTTTCCATAAGTTTTTTGAATCATTTTTGTTTTCCTCAATCTTGTGGTCAAAATATTGATTTTTTGCTTTTCTAACCATTCTCTGCACATGATTTCTATGTTTGCGGTAATGCTTATAGTCTGATGTTTGGCCAAATTTTCTAAATGTGTGCATAAATGTATCCCTAGTTCTTATCTCTTCCAGAATTTCTGCTGTCATCCACGGTTCTGTCTTTTGTTTAAGTCTAATTTCCTTCAAAGGAGCAGTATTATCCAATGCTTTTATAAAAATATCATGGAATGATTTCCAGCATTCATTTAAATTATCAGCAAACATACATTTTTCCCCATGGAACCTCCAAAAGAAGTTTCTCAAAAGATTCTTTTTTATAGTTTTTGGTTGAACGAATATGAATGTTGTTATGCTTATTAAAAACACATTTAGAGGATTTTCTGGTACAGAATATTAAAAAATGGTCGCTGAGACCTATCGATAATACGCCAGATTGACAAATCTTTTCT